CTGACAAAATTTCCACTAAACTCTCCACCAAACTGATGAATTTTTTTGTTTGTTTTGGTTTTGGGGACAGGGTCTCACTATTGTAGCCCAGGCTGGCCTTGAACTCACAGCGATCCTCCTGCCTCTGCCTCCTGAGTGCTGGCATCACAGGTGTGCGCCACCACACCCAGCTCAAACTGATAGATTTTAAATGGTTAGAATGTGTCTTCTCTCCCTCTTCTGATTATGAGCCCTGTCTCCTAAAGAAATAGGTCTCGCCTATTTCTTTAGAGCATCAGAACCCTCTAAAGAACTTCCAATTCCTGGGCTCTGTCCCACTCGCCTTGAGTTTGCATCCCAACAAGCTCCCAAGGTGATTCTGACGCTGGAACCCCTGGATGTCACTTTGAAAATCCACCTTTAGAAGAAAAGTGGCACTCAGTCTCATTCACGCCGTTGTATCCCTGAATTAGTAAGTAGTACGAGCAGGGTGTGGTGGTGCACATCTGTAATCCCAACACTGCCAGGCTGAGGCACATTACCTACAGTTCAAGGCCAGCCTGAGCTACACAGTGAGTGCAGGGCCAGTCTGAACTACATAGGGAGACCTTATCTCAAAAAAAATCAAAAAGAAAAAAAAAGCAGGACAATCCCCCAGGCACTGCAGGGATTTGGGGATGGAGGGATAGATGGATGGAAGGATGGAAGGATGGATGGATGGTTGGATGGATGGATGGATGCAGGGGGAGGAAGGCTGCCCAAGAAAGATGGACAAAGGCCAGGAAGGGTCCAAATTAACTCAGCAAAACAAGCTGGAAGAAAGTATTATATTCCTCTTATAAAATGTCTCAGAGGGGGTCAGGGATTTAGCTTAGTGGCGCCATGCCTGCCTTGAAACTGCAAGGTCCTGAGTTCAATCCCCAGGACCAAAAAAAAAACAAACTGAAAAATGTATCAATCAAAAATGTATCAATGCAGGGCTGAATAATTTTTAACCAAGAATTCTGCAAGGGACACAGAGCATCTGTATGTAAGACAGATGACACGGCCACCGAACAGGCAGACCAGATATGGGCTTGGGATCCAAGAGCTGCAAGTGAATGAACACGCATCCAATTCACAATCAAATAAACATGCCTGGGCCCACAGCCAAGCACAATTCTTGGACTGGACTTTTATCAGGGACCTAAATTTTAACCAGCTGGAACTTTTTTTCCAAGCACCACCCTATTCCAAATCCTACCTTTTGAAATGAAATATTTGCCTTAAATGGGAAGCTTGTACTTCACTGCAAAGAGGATGCCAGCATTCTGCTTCTTGGATTGTTGAAGGTTCAGCTTTTTGGGGGGTTAGAAATTATATTTCAGACATAACAGACCAGAGGTGCACCCCATTTTAGGTAAGGAGGCAAGAAATGTCCCTTCCTCCCCCACTACAGGAAAAGCCACTAACTAAAAATCTGTGGGAGTGGATTCCTAACTCCTTGCTCCATAAATAGGCTTCTCAGCCAGACAAGGTTGTCTCAGAAGACAAGGGGGAGGCCAGGAATCTCATGGCAAGTGACTGAAATAATTAAAGTTACAAAACAAAAACATTCCGCTATCAAGAAGCAAGAGTTAAGAGCCAGTAAAAATGAGGGGGCCAGCCCCTCTGGAAATTTTACAAATTGGTACTTGAGAAAATAGAATTTGTCACTCAAAGAGCAACTTTACCTGGCAAGAGATCTTCCTTTCTAGTAGTTGAGGAAGTGTGCCCACAACTCATTTCTAAACACTGAGCTGTGTTCAAGATAGTATCAGCCTCTTAATTGCCCCACGAATAATGGGGAGGTTGTGAAACCTGACCACTTAAACCAAGCCAGCTCCTGGCTCCTCCGAGAGCAGCTCTGAAGAGTGTGTTTGCGAAGCAGCCTGGGGGATGGGGGCGGCAGCCACCTCACAAGCCCTGAGAAAAAACCCATTCCTACAGGGGCAAGGACGCCGGAACAAACGCTTCCTGGACATCAAGGGATCATTTGCAGTTGCTCTCCAGTACCCAAATCCTTCCCCTCCTCAGGGCTCACTTCTGCACCCTTCAGTAAGTCCCTCTCTTAGTTTCTGAGTGAAACTTAGACCCATGAGAAGCCCTCTCCTAGGGGTGCATTATATATAATCAGCCCTTATTCTTATGTTTGTGCAGACACAATTTGACTGTAAGCAGTCGAAGAGCTGAGGCCGACAGCTAATACTGAGCACCTGCTGTCTGATCAGGGAACCAGAACTGAATCAAATATCCAGGTCCCTGTAAGCCAACACTTACTGGAGATTGATGACAAAGCAACATCTGGACATCTTACCTAGGGAGGTGGCAGCAGGGAAGGCTTCCTGCAGGAAGGGATACTGGAGTAGAGGAGTGATGCTGAGGAGGTGTAAAGAGAAGGAACAAAGGCAGGAGCAGCGTGTGCAAAGGCCCAGTGTGGATAGGACACAGAAGCTGGGTGCTGCGACCTCCCACACACACACTTCTTAAAATCTATCACTTCATACTGGACTTGGCAGGAAGGATGCGGAGTTTAATTGGGCTCAGACAAGATGTGCCGGGCTCCAGGCTCTGAGGTCTGAAAACTAAAGACACAGAGTAAACAAATACCAGCTCCATAGTCTGGGGATTCGAGGCCCTTTATGAGAAAGTAAAGCAAAGGCACAGCAATTTGGGAGGGCTTCCCAGAAAATGTATCACTTGAGCTGTGTTTTAGGCCAAGCAGGAGGTTCTCTGGGAAGGAAAGGGCATCCCAAGAGGAGGGGAAAACACGAGTGGGCAGCTCGAAGGGTCTAAGAAGTTAGGGAGCAGGAAGGGCAACACGGGCTGAGGCTGGAAATGCGGGTATGCAGATGTGCAAAGAGGGTGGGTTGGCTGGGTCCTAGGAAGAGGCCCCCATGCTCATCCCGGAGGGGGTGAAAATGAGCCACAGAAAGGACTGCTGAGACCAAGGCTGGAGTTGCTGAGAACCCTTACATCCAGGAGAGGTGGTGGAGGAAGTTAGCGTGAGTGGGAAGAGCCTGGGAAGGCATGGGGCACCCACTCTGCAGGGGTGTGTGGGTGCAGAGCAAAACCACCAGGTTGGCCTCCAGGACACCACCATATCGAAGCACTGGCCTACAAAGCAGTCTAGGCAACTGCATGCAAATAGCAAACTGGACTGAGTCACTAGAAAACTCAGAAATGGGCCAGGGGATTCAGCTCAGTGGTGCCGCTGCCAGCCTTGAAAGCGCAAGGTCCGGAGTTCTATCCCTGTACCAAAAAAACAAAACACACACACACACACACACACACAAATTCCTCAGAAGCAAACGCTGTGATGCTGTTAGAGTTAGTCAAAAGTCAAATTCGGTCTAGGTCCAAAGTTCTAATAGGCAGCCTCAAGAAAATGTGCTACTGCCGGGCATGGTGGTGCATGCCTGCGATCCCAGCCCTCAGGAGGCTGAGTTCGAGGCCAGCATGGGCCACATAGTGAGTTCAGGGCCAGCCTAAACTACAAAGGGAGACCCTGCCTCAATCCACCTCTCAAAAAAGTAAATGTAGGGCCGGGGATTTAGCTCAGTGGTTCCGCCGCCTGCCTTCCAAGCCCAAGGACCCGATTTCGATCCCCGGAACCAAAAAAAAAAGTAAATGTTCTATCTATTAAAAATATAGAAGAGGGCCGGGGATTTGCCTCAGTGGTTTTGCCGCCTGCTGCGCAAGCGCAAGGACCCGAGTTAGATCCCCGGTACCAAAAAGTAAAAAAATATATATATATATATATAATATATATATAGAAGAATAGGGATGTTTCACTACAGTGGAACGGGGTAAGAAAATGTGATGTGTCACTCTAATGAGCGATAGGTTACAGCACTCACTAAGGGGAGCAGGTTATGTGGCCACTGGCTCTAAGCATCCAGCGGCCTAGCTCATACTTGGTTTTCTGTGCTGTTTCTCTGAATTGTGGGGCACGTCAGCTGAGGCACCAGCCTGTGCCCGCACGGGGCGTCACCTCTTACGTCTTTTCTGGCTGAGGCTGTTTAGAGCCTCGGAGAAGAGGTAGATCAACTTAGCTCAAGCAAACTACCCCATAACCATCCCATGCCTTGGGGAAACCAGGATGTCCCCATTTCCTCCCACTTTCCAGATGAAGAAACTGAGGCTCTAGGTGCCCAGGAGTGGAGCCAAGGTGAGGGCTCCCTCCTCTGGGCTTAAGGCACGAGTGCCCCGAGGCCGAGGCTGGCCAGCCCCGAAGGGAGGCGGGAGGCAGCAGGATGCAATCTCCAGGACCGCGGAGGCGGGAGCCCAGAGGCCGGCCCAGGAAGGCGGCGGCGTCCCGCACACCCCATCCCTGTGGCCTCATCGCCCGGACAGCGTCAAAGGGGCACCCGGTTCCGGAGCAGGGACTCCAAGTACACGGCAAAGTCTGGACCCCTCTCCGGCTGAGGTGACAAACTCGCTGCCCTCTGCCGCGAAAAACATTCTCAATTCGGATGGGAGGAGGAGAAAGCACCTGTGAGACCATCTAGGAGAGGGAAGCTGAACGGGGAGCAAAGCGTCTCAGGAAGTCAAGGAGCTCCAGTGGGGACGGGAGCGGGGCGACGAAGGGACCCCCAGCCCGAAGGAACAAAGCGACCCCGATAGCGGTGCAGCCGTCCCGGCGCTCCAGACCCCCGCCCCGGCCGCCCGGCTTTGCGCAACTGTCCGGAGGTCCGGGAGGGGGACCCCCAGAGCCCCCGGCCCTGTCCGGACAGCCCAGGGTCCCAGGCCAGCACGCGCAGCCCGGGGCGCCCGGAACAAAGGGCGGGCGGGCGACCCCACCGCGCCCCGCTCCCGGGAGGGCCTCCGCGGGGCCTCGTCTGCAGCACAAAGCCGGGGTCGGCCGCCCCTCACCCGGCGGGCGGCCCAGGAGGGCGGCGGCGAGATGTGCGGGCGCCCCGCGCAGCGCAGCGCTGCCCGCGCACCTGTGCGCCCCGCGCCGGCAACTCCAGACCCCGGAGGAGCCCGCGGTTCCCCCTTACCCTCCAGCCACAGGTGTCGGCGCCCCTCGCGCGGCCGGAGCCACCCGCGGCCACGGCCAGCTGCGAGCCGTTGAGACAGGCGTTGACGGTGAAGAAGACGGAGCAAAGCTGCAGCCACGGGGCCATGGCGCGCGCTCGCCCAGCCGGGCCCTTCTCCGAGCCGCGGCCGCCAGCAGCTGGGCAGCCCCGAGAGGGCGGGGGCGGCGGCCTGAGCGGGCCGCACAGAGCATGCGCCGCCGGCCCGCGCCCCGCCCCTCCCCTCTGAGACCCGCCCCCAACCTCAGTTCTGGGCTCCGGGCCCCGCCCCTCCACCCTGCCCCTCCCACCGGGCCCCGCCTCTCTGGCCACGCCCAAGCTGCTGCGGGGTCGGGCAGCTGCAGGCCCCCCAGTCACCACTATCTAAGAATTTTGTTTAAACCTGGCGTGGTGGTGCACGCCTGTAATCCCAGCATTCTGGAGGCTGAGGCAGGAAGATCGCTGAGAGTTCGCGGCCAGCCTGAACTACATGGCAAGACTATCTCAAAAAAAAGTTTTCTTTGAATTTTTTGTTATTCTGGGTTTTTTAGGGATTTTTTTTGTTTTGTTTTGGGTTATTGTTTTTTTCTTGTTTGTTTTTGAGACAGCGACTACCTGTGTAATCCGGGCTGCTCTTGAACTCTTTATGTAGCCCGAGCTGGTCCTCTGCCTCAACGTGGTGAGCGCTGGGGTTACAGGCATCCACCACCACATCCGGTTTAAGAGATTTTTGTTTTTTAATCTAAAGGATTTGTTCAGATGATATCTGCTCCACGCAAAAACTTGGAGAAACGCGATGTAATAATTTTAATAATTTAATAAGCACCTGCTGTGTGCCAAAGTCCCTTCTTGTGTCCTCCCAACCGCACAGGGAAGTGTCAGTATTATTGTTATCTCAGTTTTAGGCGAAGAAAAGGTAGTGTTAACAGGGCAGTTCAAGAAATCCTATCCATTACTGGCACCTTGGGCAAAGGACTTGTTGCCCCAGTACTTTGCCCTCCCCTGTAAACTGGAATAGCAAGAGTACGAATCCTCCTCTGGGGAGGATTCTGTTGTTTACACATAAAAGAATGGGACTAGTTGAATAAATTAAGGTACATCTAAACCATGACATAGAAGGTACCTTTTACAATTCTTTTTTTTAAAAAAAGCAGTGGAGAAACTGGCTCTGCAGAGTGAGCTTGGGCCGAGGAAAAGAGGAAAAAGCAAGATAAAAGAACTCCCTGGAGAAAGCAGGGTGGGTGGGCTATGGTGAGGAAGGCCATGATAGCCCCCTGTTACAATTCAGAAGTGCTAAGCCCCTTTTTCAAGAACACATTAAACCCTGGAATAGGGTTGGGGGTATAACTCAGTGGTAGAGCATTTTCCTAGCACTCAAAAAGCCCGGGGCTCAATCCCCAGCACCACAAACAAAATAAAGTAAGAAATTAGGTGGAGCATGGTTGTGTTTGCCCATAATCCCCAGCACCAGAGAGGCTGAGGCAGGAGGATCACTTGGAGTTCTGTCACAGGCTGGGTCTGAGGGTCCCTGAGGCTGAAATAAGGAATTTAACCTTCTCCTTTAAAATAAGTACCAAGGGAAAAAAATAAAATAAAATAAGTACCAAGGGCCGGGGATTTAGCTCAGTGGTTTCGCCGCCTGCTGCACAAGCGCAAGAACCCAAATTCGATCCCTGGTACCAAAAACTAAAATAAAATAAGTACCAAGTTCCCTGACTGTTGTCAAAGAAAAAGAATTTTCAGGACCTGTCAGTAAAAGAGGGCTGAGAAAAACTTATTAGAAGAAGACATAGGACACAGTACAGAGCAGAGAACAGGGCTCAAAGAAATGAGGCGCAATACAGCTGAGAACTGGGGATCTTTTATGTTTGGGAAGGTGGAAATCTGTAGAATTCAATAATGTATAGTCTCAATGAGCCAGAGAGGATGGCCCACCCCTAGTGAGATAATGGTCAGTTCCTATGGGAATCCCCAAAACGTTGGTCCCTTCGTGCCTGAAAGAGGACATTTACAAGTAAAAGGGAATGGGCAAACCTGTTTGCAGCTGAAAGGGAGTTGCCCAGGTTTGCTTTGGAGAAAGAAAAAAAAAGTGAATAAACTGGGCTTGTGTTCTGAAGCTGCAGGTTTTTCTTCAAGGTACAATTTTTTAAATTACGATTTCCTTGTCTCCTTTCTACCTTAGCTTTCTTTCTTCTATCCTACCTCAGTTCGGGGCCAACCTGGGCTACATAGTTCAAGACCAGCATGAACTACTCTGCAAGACCCTGTCTCAAAAATCAAAACTGGGCCAGGGGTGATGGTACACGCCTGTAGTCCCAGCACTCAGGAGACTGAGGCAGGAGGATCGCCATAAGGCCAGCCTGGGCTACATAGTGAATTGAAGGCCAGCCTGCACTATAAAGTGAGACTTTGTCTCCAAAAAATAAAGAAACTGGGACAGACACTAAATGTGTAAAGTCAAAAAATAAAATTGGGCCAGGGATTTAGCTCAGTGGTTCTACCACCTGCTTTGCAAATGCAATGTCCCAAGTTCGATCCCAGGTACCAAAAAAAAAAATTACAATAAAATAAAATGATACTTGTCAAGCTTACCCTTGTGAAATGTGTATCATCTCTGAAGAGGAAGCTGAGGCCCAAGAACCAGAGGGGCCAAAGTTACACTGCTCCCCTCAGCTGTGTACTTGCTCCCCACCACTCCACCCCTTCGCTGCCCCTCCCAGGCTAGGCCACTGGGTCCTCACTGGCATCAGCTTCCTGGGGGCTGTCTCTGCTTCTACTTCTATCCCGATATGCAATGTATTCCCTACTCTAGATCCAATGAGACCTAGAAATGTACATCAGACCACTAACTTCTAATTAAACACCTTCTGGGATGGCTTTTAGTCAAAAGTCATTTGGAATAAAATCCACAATCATCTTCTCTCCCATATCATCTCTTCTCACTCTGCCTTCATCACCCACCTTGACCCAATCTTAGGTTTTGGGGGTTTTTTTTGGTACTGGGGGTCAAACTCCAGACCTTGCACTTTTGAGGCAGGCAGGGGAACCACTGAGCTAAATCCTGGGCCCCTTGGTGGTTTTGACATAGGGCACCAAGTAATCCAAAGAAATGATATAGGGCAAGTGATCCAAATAAGGGAAATATTGTAACTCCCAACCTAATAGATTTCCAAAACTCAAGTTAGAGTTCTCTAAAATTGAAGAATGAATTCTAGGAACAATGTAGATTAAGAGTTTGAAGAATTTATTGACAGATTCCTCCTGCCTAAAGGGGGACCGGAAAGTGGGCTAGCCGGCCAACTCGCTTTTTAGAGGCATTTTATTGTACAAAGCCATGAGGTGAGGCAGGTTCAAGGTGAGACAAAACTATTAGACCCAGTGTAAAATTACAAGGTGGGCATGAAGTGAGACAAAACCATGATCAACCAGTAAGATTACAAGTGCAATCACCCAGGTATTACTGATTAAATGGGGATGGAATGGGAGAACAAGTCAGGTACCAGGAATTTCCAGAAAGGAAATGGGCTAGGGAGATTGATGTCTATTTAGAATATCAATCACTGCTATTCATCTCTAGGGGAAGCAGTATTTCTTTTCTTTTTATAATGCTAACCAGTGAATGTGCCTCAATTGTTTTTCTATGCTGAGGGCCCAGCTTTGTCTAACTCCCTTAAAAGAATTTCTTGGGGCTGAGGATTTAGCTCAGTGGTTCTGCCGCCTGCCTTGCAAGCACAAGGTCCCAAGTTCAATCCCCAGTACCAAAAAAAAAAAAAAGAAACAATTTCTAACTAACTTAGCTATCTGCCATAGTTTTGTCTCAGCAAGCCTTGGAAACCATTGATGTAGGGCATGAAGTAATCCAAATAAGGAAACTATTATAATTCCTACTAACCTGCTAGATATCTGAAACGCTGAGTTCGTGTTCTCTAAAATGGAAGAATTCAAAGAACAACAGAGGTTAAGAGTAGGAAGAATTTATTGAGAGAAAGATAGCTTCTGAGAAACAGAAGGGGGACCAGAAAGTGGGTTGCTCACACCCCCCCCCCACTTCTCAAAAGTGTTTTTATTTAGCAAAGCCATGAGATGAGGCAAGTACAAGGTGGGACAAAACCACGGTCAGCCAATAAGATTACAAGTATAGTCACTTAAGTAATATTGGTTAATGGGGATCAAATGGGGAAGCCAGTCACATAGCAAGCACAGAAGGAACAAACAAGGATTTCCCAGAAGGAATGGGCTATGGAGGTTTCATCCCCACCCAAGGGGATTGATGCCTATATAGTAAGTATATCAATCGCTGCTGTTCTTCTCCAGGGGAACAATGTGGGTGTAATACTTTTTCCTTTTTATAATGCTGACCTTCAGTGAATGTGTCTCACTTGTCATCTGTATTGACTCCTCCAGGTCCGGCCCTGTTAACCGCCTACAAGATAGCTAACTGACTTAGCTGTCTACAAAACATCACCTCTGTCCTCCAAGAAAGCAGCCTCCTCTGCATAACTCCTTGCCAGACCCAGACTCACCTCTTCTTGTCCCCAGGCCTGAGCCACACTGCTGCTAGCACAGGATTCCAGCTCTTTCCCGGCTGGCTCCACACAAGCTCCTACATCTTTGTACTTAAGCCCTCCAGAGAGGCCAGGTGGCCCCAGCTTTCTCCTTATAGAGAAAAAGGACTCGGTAATTCGGGCAGAAGTCTTGGGGTTTGGCTCCTCCGGCCACTGGGGAGCAGAGCCAGCCTGGTCTGACCTCAGAGGGTGGATGCACCTGGAAACCAGCATTACTGCCAGAGATAGGGGAATGGGGTGGGGCTCCCCACAATACCATCCACTACAAGGCTCAGGTGCACTGCCAGGTAGAAATGTTCTGTATTCCACCTCACTGCTGGGGTATTCAGAAATTCGGACAGACTCAGGGAGGGTGGGCGACACACCAACTGCTCCTGCAGAAGAGCCAGGTCCACAGAAGCCAGCACCCGGGAGTCTGTCTCCGAATGGACCTCAGGCCTGTTGGTTCAGTGCTCTGCCCACAACCCTGCAAGCAGACACACTGGCCCTACCTCTCGGGCTCATTCTGAATCCTCCACCTCCAGGAGAGGTCCTCAGAGGTCCAGGGTGCTCCAGGCTGAGAAATGGCCAGGGCCGAATGGATGTTGGAGAAAGACCGAGGAAACCCCCCTATACTGTCTCAGGCTACAGGCTCCTTACCCTGTGTGTGGAACCACTGAATGATGCACATTTGAAATTGCCAGAAGCTCAATATCTCACTGCCCTCTTAGCTGCTTCTCTGGTTAATGAGGCAGACCACGTGCCCAGGTACATACTGTCATTTTCAGTTCCCGATTTGTTGGCAAGGTGAATGCCAGGAAAGAGCAGTATCTGGATCTAGGAGAGAGGGAGAAACTTAAGGAGGGCATGTGAGTAAGAACTGTGTGAGGTGGAGTCAGGGCAGGCAGAGCCACACTCCTGCTCCCTTCATGTCCCCACATCCTCCCAAGGATGAACCCCTCTCCTCCCAGCTCGCTGTGGACCGAGCCTGCTGACAGCTGCTGAAAACTTGCTGCAGGACCTCGACAGCTTTTCTACAGGAGTAGGGAGGACACACGGAAAACCACGCTTGTCCAGCCTAGAACATGGTTCAAACCACAGCTCTCAGGAGGTGGGACTCAGAGGCCCTAGAGAGCCTAAGCATGTGTGGAGGTGGAAGGGAACCATACACACCCAAGAGTCAAACCTGGTCAGGAAATTAAGACAATAAATCTGAGTTTAGGAACATCTTTCTCAACCTGGTCTTTGCTATTGATCCTCTTCCTTTCATCTCTTTTTATCTGGATTCCTCGGAATATTTTTGGGATGGGGTTGGCTGTCCTAGAAGCTGAGCTAAAAGGAAGAGGTCAGGCCCCCACATGGCCTCCAAGGACCATGGTCTCCTCAGACTGCAGTGAGCCCAGCCGCACAGGTGACCAAAGGGTGAATGGGAAACGTCGACCATCTCATTCACTGGGGCAGGCTTCTCCATGGTCTAATCAGGATTTCAGGCTCCCTCAGTGCCTGGCACTCGGCTTGGCACACACCAGTAGTAAGAAAAGGTTACTACCTCTCCCTGTAGGAGTGAAAGTGAAAATTAAACAAGAAAAATCACCTTAAAATAAGCTGTTGATGAAATGCAAATATACAGCTCCAACCTACCAAGAACTTAACCAGGTAAGAAAGATCCTTAATTACAAATATTAGCTGGGCGTGCGGCCCAGGCCTGTAATCCCAGCACTCGGGAAGCTGAGGCAGGAGGATTGTCACGAATTGGGGCCAGCCTGAACTACATGGCAAGACCCTGTCTCAAAAAAGGAAGGAAAGAAAGAAAAGGAGAGAGAGAGAGAGAGAGAGAGAGAGA